AGCCGCACCTGGGTCGTGCCAGCCGCACGCCCAGTGCCCAGTTAGCCCGGGTACGCGCTTATCCCGCGTCCCTCGCGCCCGGCCAGTGCCAGGGCCAGTGCCAGCCGCACTGCCCGCGCCCAGCAGCGCCTAGTGCCGAGGCCAGTCATGCCTAGCCCGTGTCCAGTGCCGTGCCATGGCTCCAGCAGGCCCGGCACGGGACCGAGCCCAGCCAGCCCGTGACCACCCGGTCCAGTGTGAACCGGTGGTCCAACCCGGTCCGGTTCAACCCGACCCGGTTCATCCAGTTAGCGAACCGGCCGGTTTAGCCGGCGGTTCGAGTCCGTTTTGGTTCGTAATTTTCAGTCCGAGTTTTATTCTGAAATTTAAATTATTTTCCGAGCCGAACCAGATCAGTTAAGCATATCAGTGTAATTTCCGAACTTAAAAATATTTTTGTGAACCTTTAGTGCGTTCCGTTATATCCGGATATCATATTAAGTCGAGTCGAGCATCTTAACAGTTAAATTTATTGATCTGAGCATAGTACTTAGTAATTGTTTATATTATGTTACAGTTTGATCAGTTCACGACTATCAGCACTTCCAGTTTCATATCTTCAGTACAGGTGGGGACTCAGACTGGGTATTACATTGATTATAATTACGATATCATGTTCAAGGTATGTCAAATTATGTTTTCCGCTTGGAATGGATGTTGGCCGGTTCAGGTTGCCATAATTCCGTTCTAAGTTCTAGTGGCGTCATCTACCACTAGTATGTGCACATGGATTCCGGCTTATTATTGTCATCATCATTATCATTATCATTATCATCATGACAGCCGGTAGATTCACGGATCCCGGTCCGGTTTATACTGTTGACCAGGAAATTCACGGTTATGTTATATGCTTTTGATCATGATGTTACTATTATTATTGCTGTTTACTTTAGTATGAGTTCCTACGGAGTACAGTGGTACTCACACCCCATTTTTATAAAATTTTTCAGGTCATGAAGTCGGTCCGGAGCTGTGAAGTTGACGGGTGGATCGAAGTTAAATATTTTGTTGTATATTTTACCACGCTATATTCCGCTGAATTTACTGTTTGACAAACTTTGACTTTTGATCCGATTTTATAGTCGGATTGTATATTATGTAAATCCGTTTTTGTTGTAAATTTTTAAACGGTCGTAACGGATTTCTAAAAGATAAAATAAATGTTTTAGTAACGCTCCGAATCATTTTCTCAAACTATTTTAAAAAGATGTCTTATAAACGCACTCTGATAATTAAGTTAGGGCGGGGCGTTACAGTTGGTATCAGAGCACGTTTCTGCGTCTCTGAATAATTTTGAAAGTCAAAAATTTTCAAATATTCGATCACGTCAAGTTCACACTCCACCGGCTATCAGGTAAGTGCTGATACATGTTTTAAATTATAAACAATTTACTATGCCTATGCTCAGTTATGTTATGGAAATCACTGTTATGGACTAGTTAAGGTGCTCGAATCATGTTCAGGGTTTATAGCCTAAAGTATTCATGATAGAATTGACAACTCGTCAAGAAATTTGTATGTCCCATAAATCAGTCAATGTATCTTATTCTTATACTTAATCATGTCAAACTCTTTCAATATTCAGATGTCGACTCATAGAAGTTCGGCTCATCGTGAACCTTCACAGTCCGAGGTAGTCGCACAGTTTCGCGACTATCATCCAGAGAAGTTTTCCGGTCAGGGAGATCCCCGTATTGTCGACGAATGGGTTCAGGGCCTTGAAACGATTTTCGAGGTCATGGACTGTCCCGAACGTTATCGCGTGTTATGCGCACAAATCCAATTAACCGGTGATGCACGACTTTGGTGGCACGCCTACTGGGGTATGCGTCCTGGAGAAAAAGAAAACTGCACGTGGGACATGTTCAAGGAGTTAATTCGCGATAAGTATTATCCTCCTTACTACAAAGCTGAAATGGAGCGTCAATTTTTGGCGCTTAAACAAGATACTCGGACAGTGGACGAGTACGAGAGAGAGTTCACTCGACTTGGAGCTTTTGTACCTGACTTGATGACCACAGAAGCAACAAGGACGAGACGTTTCATCGACGGGCTTATTCCAGTAGTCCGTCACAACATCGTGGGCCATGGAGTTCAGTCCTATGCCCGTACTGTTACCATTGCAGGAGAAGTTGATGCCAGCATACGAAGGGAAGCCAAACATGATCGTCTTCAGCCGATGCCCTCTACTCTATCATCACCAACACCACAAGCTCAACCTCCAGCCGCCCTACAACAACGATACAAGAACAAGAGGAAGAACAGGGGAGGCCAAGATGACCGCAGGAACCGTCAGCGACAGCAGCAACCTATACCGCCTTGCCCCACTTGTGGAAAGATTCACCGCGGAGAATGCTTGATGGGCTAGAACACTTGCTACTACTGCCGACAGCCTGGTCACATCCGACCTAATTGTCCACGACTGCAACAACAACCTCAACAACAACATCAACAACTTCAACCGCAACAACAACCTCAGCAGCCCAGACAGCAGCCACCGAGACAGCCTCAGCAACAGCCACGTGGGAGACAGCCAGCGCGTGTCTATGCAGTCGATCAAGCGGAAGCAGCTCAACACCCAGGTACCATGTCTGGGATGATTATACTTAATGATGTTCCTGTTTTCGCTTTATTCGATACCGGTGCAACACACTCTTTCATTTCACGACGATGTCTTGACGCCATTGGGGTTCACACTATATCATGTTCAAGGTATGTCAATTATGTTTTTCCGCTTGGAATGGATGTTGGCCGGTTCAGGATGCCATAATTCCGTTCTAAGTTCTAGTGGAATCATCTACCACTAGTATGTGCACATGGATTCTGGCTTATTATTGTCATTATCATTATTATTATCATTATCATCATGACAGCCGGTAGATTCACGGATCCCAGTCCGGTTTATACTGTTGACCAGGAAATTCACGGTTATGTTATATGCTTTTGATCATGATGTTACTATTATTATTGTTGTTTACTTTAGTATGAGTTCCTATGGAGTACAGTGGTACTCACACCCCATTTTTATAAAATTTTTCAAGTCATGGAGTCGGTCCGGAGCTGTGAAGTTGACGGGTGGATCGAAGTTAAATATTTTGCTGTATATTTTGCCACGCTATATTCCGCTGAACTTACTGTTTGACAAACTTTGATTTTTGATCCGATTTCATAGTCGGATTGTATATTATGTAAATCCGTTTTTGTTGTAAATTTTTAAACGGTCGTAACGAATTTCTAAAAGATAAAATAAATGTTTTAGTAACGCTCCGAATCATTTTCTCAAATTATATTTAAAAAGATATTTAAAAAAAAACGCACTCTGATAATTAAGTTAGAGCGGGGCGTTACAGGTTCCCTCCTTAGTTAATACGCGAGAGGAGTTGACTTGAGGATGTCGACATGTAGACGGTTCCACTTGTCATCCGGTCGAGCAGCTAGTACTTGAACCGGTATATCATAATATGGCTATATCAAACCTAGTAATAAATACTCAAACAGAGGTACCATAATCATGCATAGTGGTACAATTATCATTGTCACTTTTTATTTTTTTTTTAGAGAGAATAACACCTGACACAACCTAACAATAACATAAAATTGGTATATATGAATAACAAAAAGAGATTATAGTCTCCTTATCTGTTTTAGGATAAATAAAACAACACTATTCAAAATTGAATCATTAACAAATTAACCAAAAACTTATGAATTAAAGATGATTTTTGTACTCCACAGTCCTCATATAATACATACCTTACTTACCACCTCAATTTTCGCCGAGAAGTGGCCAAATATGGCAAAAAAATATGATTTTTTTTTAGAAAGATGAAAATTGGACGTTCGTTAGTCGCCAGATCACGTCTTTCGCCGAAGTTTTTGTCGCCGGAGAGCTCAACCTGCAAGAAAAAAAATGGGAAGCGGGAAAGGGAAAAGGTGACGACTAGAGGAGGGTTGGTGTATGGAAGAAGATAAAAGAAAATTAATAAATTAATGTAGTAGTGGGGTGATGTGATTTGTTTTTTATTTATTCATGCTTTATTTTAGTTGTAGGGAGTTAAGTGAAAAATTATAGTGGGCTTAGGTAGTGCAGTAGGAATAAGACTTAGTAAATGCTTGGATATAAATCTTTTTGGATTTTATTGGAATTTTTGGTTTGGTATGGTTAATTTCAAAAAAAATGGTACGGGTAGTGGGATTTTGAATTTATATTAAAATAATATTTAAAATAAAATAATTAAAATTGATTTGATGTAAAAGTATGAGAGATGTGATATGAAGTGATGGTTAGTTAAAATTATGTAAGGGATGAATAGTAAATTAAGTTGATGGTTGATGTAATGTGTAAGAATGATCGAGTGATATTGTTTAATTATATTGATAATATTTAGAATAGTTTGACAGAGTTAAATTTGAGTTTAAATGAGTGATTGATTAAAAATAAGTGAATTTTTTAGGATAAATTTGTATATAAGCATAGGGACTGAAATAGAATTTGTAAATGCAGAAATGAGTTTAGAATATTTAGATTTAGATAATTAGTGGGAAAATGCCCTTGATTTAATGTGCATTTGTTTTTTGAAGTTTTTCTGCTATTTTTTCCTATCAATTTCAATTCGCGACGCGTTTTACCATTAATAATAATTTCTCCTACCCAATACATTTTAATGGAACTTCATTGAAAAGTGATCGAAACTGTTACATTGAGAAATTTGAGTTACCAAATGTAAAACATGGGTTGTAAACCGAAACGTTTTCCCCAGATTGAAATTCTACACAGACCCAAACAGCCTCAATCCCGTAAAAGCCTCCACAACAAATACAATCATGCACACACACAGCAAACGTCTTACAACATTAGAATTCCTTAAACCACCACCCCTTTCCTTATTTTGCACGAAAAAAAATTACCCAGACAAGTACACACACAGTGCCCATTTGCGTTAACCACAGATTTCAATTCATTACACTATACCATACTCCACAAGCTCATTCCTCAATTGTCCTAATCTATCCTCAGCCAAAATCACGTTCACACTTCTCCCACCTCCATTTCGGGCCATCACCACCACAGCCCCTTCATCACCCACCCCATCAATGCTCAAGCCCGCAAAAATCGGGCCCAGCCCATTAAGCTCCAACCCCCACACATTCACTTCCTCCCACTCGACAAACGTGAGGTTCGACCCGTACACGATAAAATCGAGCTTCCCACTCCCTTCCTCCATTTCTCTCTCCACCGCATTCGTCTCGTCCACAAACTCCTCGGAAATATATTTCGCTAACTCAAGATAATCGGCGTCTCTGATTAGATCCAACGTTCGAGCTTCAACCGTGCCAGTCACCTGGCGAGTGTTGCTGGGTAGCTCTGACTGTACGCTCGTGAGGTCAAGTATTTTGTCGCTCTTTTTGCACACGGTGATAATATTAATCATATTCATAATTTTGGCCGCGCATTTCCATATAACGGCCGAGATCACTTCGAACGGGGTTATTACTCTGTACTTATTGCTATTCTTCTCTTCAGGCAGGAGTTTGATTAGGCTTTCCTTTGTTATGTGGAAAGTGTGTGTTTGCATTATTTTGGAGTTGTTAGGGATTGACCAGTTGTCTCCGAGGGGGTCCAGCTGTTTAATGGACCGGCATAAGGATGCTGACGTGGAAGGCTGTGATTGGATATTGATGGGATTGCTTAGGTGAACCGGCACTTTGTGATTGGCCATGATCTTGCCCCACGTGTTGATGCACTCTGCGGCTGAGTATGCGTCGCCAAGTACGTGAGCCCATCTCATTCCTACTGATAGTCCTCCACATGTGAACTTTGTCAACTGAGAATAATAAGAAAAAAATTTATATATAAATGTTTTTTTTTGGTAATTTGATTTTGAATTCCTACCTCTCTGTTTATTTGTAAAATTAGTTTCATGCATTTTCTACATTAACTGTTGAATAATTATTTGTCTTGAGATTACAGTTGTGGAGAACCTTTTAAAAATTAATTTCCACGAGGGAAAGGTCGAGAGTAGCNAGGAAAGTTCTTGACAATTAGGTCCATTAGAGGATAAAGATAAAGTTCGGTTTGAGCAAGTTTGTGAGAGGTCACCCAATGGCACCCACACGCATGTGTCTAATTAACTCCTCATTTCTCAATCAATGTCAAAATAATTGTAAGGCTCAACTAGTTAGGTACAATAAAAATTGGACACACAGAATTGATAACGGAGTTCGGACGATAATGCTTACGTCTCCGGACTACAGTAGATATTTTATTAGGGGAAAAGAAATGCACTCGTGTTTACAAAACACTCTCAAACTCACTTACAATTCACAACCCAAAAATACACACAAAAGCTAGATTATTTTTCTAACTCACTCTTTTTTTTTTCTTCAATTTTAGTGTGTCTTTCACCTCTGTCCATTGCTCTCTATTTATAGAGAAAACTTTGCAGTACCAAAATCTTTCAAAATCCTTACGGATAAACATTCATTTAATTTTGGTGCCCAAAGTCAGAAGGAAACGGCTGCAATTGGGGCTGCTGTCAAATGAGAGCTGCTGCTGCCATTTTGAGCCGCCACTTTTGACTCAACAATCTCCCACTTGAGGATTGATTTCAATCTGTCCTCACATCTTAATTACTGCAGTAGTCTTCTCCAGTCTGTTATTCTAGCAAGCCAACTGAAGTTGAGCATAACTTCAATTTGTCAATGGTCACTACCTTCGTTAGCATATCTTTCGGATTCTTGCTTCCTACAATCTTCTTCAATGTCAACACTTCATCTTCAAGAAGAGATCTGATGAAATGATATCGTATGTCAATGTGCTTAGTTCTGGAGTGAAACACTGAGTTCTTTGACAGATGTATTCCACTCTGACTGTCACTGTGTAAGACACTCTCTTTTTGAGTGAAACCCAACTCTGCTAACAATCCTTGAAGCCATATCAATTCTTTACTGGCTTCTCTCCCTGCTACATACTCAGCCTCTGTAGTGGATAGAGCAACAATCTTTTGTATTCGTGACATCCAACTAACAGTTGTAGCTCCGACAGTGAAAACATAACCGGTGGTGCTTCTTCGGTGATCAACTTCACCTCCAAAGTCTGCATCTACGTAGCCCTGTAACTTTAGATCTCCTTTTCTAAAGTACAGAAATTTTTCTGTTGTGCCCCATAGATATCTCAAAATCCATTTGACTGCTTCCCAATGAGCTTTTCCTGGATTTGACATAAACCTGCTAACAACTCCCACTGCATGGCCAATGTCTAGCCTCGTACAGACCATCGCGTACATCAAACTTTCAATGGCTAAAGCATAAGGAATTTTAGCCATGAACTCTTCTTCTTCTTTTGTTTGAGGAGACTGATCCTTGGATAGACGAAAATGGCTGGCCAAAAGCGTACTGACTGGCTTTGCCTTATCCATGTTAAATCTCTGTAAAACACGATTGATGTACTCTGCCTGAGATAACTGCAAAATTCCCTTTTGCTTATCTCTCGTGATTTGCATTCCAAGAATCTTCTTTGCTGAGCCTAAATCCTTCATGTCAAATTCTTTTGACAATCGCATCTTTAATTTTCTGATGTCTTTCATATTTGATCCCGCTACATACATGTCATCAACATAAAGTAGCAAGATGATATAGCTGGTCTCAAACTTCTTAAAGAAGCAACAGTGATCAGCATGGCACTTCTGGAAACCTTCTTTGTGCATGAAGCTATCAAACTTCCTACCACTGTCTGGAGCTTGTTTCAGGCCATACAAGCTCTTCTTCAATTTGTACGCCATATCCTTCTTTCCTTCTGAAAAACCTTCAGGCTGGTGCATATAGATCTCCTCATCTAGGTCTCCGTGATGAAATGCAGTTCACGTCTAATTGCTCTAGATAGAGCTCTTCACTAGCCACAATACTTAACACAGTCCTGATAGTATTTAGCCTTACAACTGGAGCAAAGATTTCAGTATAGTCAACTCCTTCTTTCTACTGAAATCCTTTGACAACCAGTCGGACTTTGTATCTCCTGGAACCACCATGGTCTTCTTTCACTCGATACACCCATTTGTTATGAAGTGCTTTCTTTCTCATAGGTAACTTGATTAGTTCCTATGTCTGATTTAAGATCAAGGACTTCATCTCGTCCTTCATGGCAAGCTCCCACTTGCTAGCATCTGTGGTTTGACAAGCTTCCATGTAATTTTCAGGCTCCCTTCCATCACTTAGCAGCATGTAGTCCATGTATCTCATGTTTAGGCACATGGGGCCGAGAGGACCTTCTCAATACAGGAGTTGGAGTAGAAGGTTCTGATTGCACTTCACTTTCTTCATTTGATTCCTTTGACCGAGGATTCCTTACTATAAAAATGTCTGGGATATCTTCCACATCTGCATAAACTGGCCCACTCGCTTCTGAGTTGCTGGAACTTGTGTTATGCCGGTCCTTGTACATCACTTTTTCATTAAAGATGATATATCTACTGCGGATCATCTTTTTGTTTTCATCATCCCATATGCGGTAGCCAAACTCATCTCATAACCAAGGAAAGTACATTTCTTTGATTTTGGGTCAAGTTTGTTTCTACCTTGATCACTGATGTGCACATATGCAATACACCCAAAAACTCTAAGATGTGAGAGTTTTACTTCTTTTCTGCTCCATACCTCTTCTGGTAACTTGGATCCAATGGTACCGATGGACTTCGGTTGATCAAGTAAGTTGCTGTGTTGACTGCTTCTGCCCAGAACTGCTTTGGTAGGCCTGACTGCACACGCAAGCTTCTGGCTCTTTTAGTCAACATTCGATTCATACGCTCAGCTACACCATGGTGTTGAGGTGTACTAGGCACGGTTTTCTCCATTTGATCCCGTGCTCATAGCAAAACTTCTTGAATCTGGTGGTTACGTATTCACCACCATTGTAGGATCTGAGCTTCTTGATCTTCAAGCCAGTCTCATTTTCCACCATAGCTTTCCAAATCTTGAAAGCTTCAAATACTTCTGACTCGTGTTTCAGAAAGTATACCCATACCTTTCTGGAGTGATCATCGATAAAAGTCACGAAGTATTGCTTCCCACCAATGGATGGGACAGTCATTGGACCCCAAACATCAGAGTGGATGAGCTCAAGCTTCTCCTTCTTTGGAGTTCTTCTATTTGTCTGAAAGCTGACTCTCTTCTGCTTTCCAAGTATACAACCTTCATGATGTAGGGAAGCGTACGAATGAGAAGGATAAACGAGATACTCTCTCGTAAAATACACAAAACTCACAATACCTTATTTTATTCAATAATCAATTGGGTAAAACAATAGATGAGGAGCCCTTTAAATAAGACTCCTAAACCCTATTCCTAACTTGTCCAACAAGACAAGATCACTTATAATAATATTTAATTACTAACTTATTCTCCAAGATACCTAATAATAATAATAATAAGACAAGATTGCTTATAATAATATTTAATTCTTAACTTATTCTTCATGATACCTAATAATAATAATAATAATAATAATAATAATAATAATAATAATAATAATGATAATAATAATAATAATAATAATAATCTACATCATTCTCCCCCGGTTGGGAAGGCTTCGCCCTCGAAGCCGATGTGCTCCCGTGACCGGTGTGTGGTGTCGAATCTATAGTAAGAAATCCCCGTCGTTTTCTCCGATCAAACACCAAAGTTGAACGTCGCCCAACCAATGCAACACTCTCTTGATTTTCATTAAACAGGGATACGACTACAGCTGTCTCACCACCATCAGCAACAAATACCAAGACTCTTGGGCACAACCAAGAGCGAGCACATCTGCCTTTAGGATCAGATCCTGCACAAAAAACGTGATACCAAATATCAAATGAATCACAAACAATGGATGCATCAACATCTGAATATACATCAACTGATACCGATCCACTACGAATTTTGCAGTCATCTCCATCCATGCCGACAACTACATTCTCATCGATTCCCATTTCCCCACAAAGATTTTTCTCCATTACCAGAGGCTCTTCATCAAAGATTGGCAGACCGTCGTACAATGGCCCGTTAACTTGCTCACTGTCGAATGTGGGGATGTCAACGCGAAACGGGCCCTCCCATTGACCATGTTCGCGATCAAGTCCCCATCGTGTCGGGCACGATATCCGCGGGCGAAGGCAGCCTCCTCGCGCCTGCCTATGTCGTCCCATTGATCGTCGCCATCCACGAAGGCCGGGCCCCGTCGCCGCATGTCACGGCCGCCGTATGCAGCAAAGGGGTCAGCCTCGACGTGCGAGGGTGAAAAATCTTCAAAGGGATTCACCTCCGAGACTTTCTCCTCGCTGTCTTCGTCGCCGGACGGTGGTTGTGGAGATCCCCGGCGGGGCGTCCCGCCTGAACCACGGCCTCTACGTCCTCCGCAAATTCCCCTGCATTTGCTCCGGTTGCCGGCGTCACGGTACGTTTGCTTGTCCCGAACCATGGTACAGATAGTTAGACGTATGTCCCCGATCTCCGCGGACAGATCTGCAATCTGACGACCCATCGTCTCGAGCTCGCGCCAAACCACTCGGTCCGGCGGCTCAGGCTGTAGATGGCGGCGACACGCCTGTCTTTTGCAGCATCTTGCCTTCGCGATAGCATCGTGAATCGTGCTGACTTCTGATACCAACTGATGTAGGGAAGCGTACGAATGAGAAGGATAATCGAGATACTCTCTCGTAAAACACACAAAACTCACAATACCTTATTTTATTCAATAATCAACTGAGTAAAACAATAGATGAGGAGCCCTTTAAATAAGACTCCTAAACCC